AGAAAAACTATTCCCCAAAAAATGCATTTCTTATATTTTTAACCTACTTAAGAGGATGCTTTTGTGACATCGACCCTGCACCATACTACCAATTCTCTCATCCTGGCCAGCAGCATCCACACTGAGGCTGTCAAGGTTCACATCTATAACACTTCCTCTCCATGCACACCTCATCTCTCCTTTCTGCTCCTTTAAATCTAGTATAAAGACCTCACACTTTTCCCTATGCTGCCTAGACAGCACTGCATACTGAAGGCAATCTCCCCTACATTATTCTTCTCTTCCAAGATTCTTGTGATATGAATGCCCAATCTTAATTTGTTTCATTTTCTTCAATGTTATTCGAATTTCCAGTCTGTTTTCGTTATGCAACCTTACAGTTTTCAATATAATATTAAGAGTATAATGATTAAGCATTCTATAAGTCAAAGAAGTAATTGCACAAACTGTCTAATGGAGCTGCTTGCAACTACAGAAATGACCATATGTGCTATCCAATATAGCAGCCACTAGCCACATGTAGCTCTTGAGTAATTTAAAATAATAGTGTGTTTCTATTTTATTTAGCTAATATACTTTAGCTAATATACACAATATTTAGCTAATATAAACAATTGGCTGGTAACTAATGAATGCAAAACAGAAGAAAGAAATCTGAGTTGTGCATTACTTTCCTTTCAGGTATGATTAAAGAGAAGGAAAGGAAAAATGAACTATTAGGTTATAGATCACTTGCTCATTTGAAAAACCAACACATGAACATAGCTTTAAGTCTACATATATTCGTCCCACATATATGTTCATTCATATATATTTTAATACTATATAAGGCTACTTTTAACTTTGTACAAATCATCCCTTAATTAAAAAACTTGAGATGTCAGCGGAATAAAAATAATTAGAGCATGTTGACAGAAATGAGTACAGTCACTACAGTGATTGCCAGGAGCTCTCAACTACAAGGTCAAGCTCTCCCACCTGCTTTGTGCTCTCAATTCAAGCAATGCAGCAAGATGAGATTATAAAACTGACATTGGAATAATGATATTCACAGGCTGTTTACTCATTTTGATATAAACACTCTCTCATGAAACAAATCACCATGGTTATTAACGCAACCAAATCTAATTCCAGAGTATGTTTAGAATCCTCCTAACCAAAAATCAGTGAGCAAATACTTCTTACAGAACTTACAATGCAAAGTTTTAACTTCAATTAAAACAAAATAATGTCTAAAATCATGAAACACAAAAAGTTGCTATCACAAGATTTTCTGAGCTATATATCTTGCCCACGACAGGTGCATCAAAATTGAGAAAATGAAGATATAGTCCGTAACTAATTTGGTATATGCTCAAATGGGTATAAACTATAAATGCTTGAAATCAATCATAATGATGTTTGTGTCTACCTTTTTGTTTTTACCCAAATGTAGTCAATCACTCAATCCTAATTATTGGCTATGTCAGGCATCACAAAAAGTTCTATTTGCTAATTTGAGGAAGCTAGTCTTTACCCTTGTGTTTAAAACTAGATGAAAACTGTCACCAAGAATACTGTACAATTGGTAACTCTCATTAAACAGAAGAACTTTGCAGCCTTCATATCAAATTCTTTTAAAACAAAGCAAATTATCTGATGGTTAACAAGTTTTCACATATTTCACTATCTGGGTAGTACAGGTTGACATTACTCATAATTACTAGGCATAATTACTAGGGTTTCAGAAGTTGCTGAATGGCTCTTAAAATATAACATACCAGAGTAGGAAAAGAAAGAGCAAATTTGACAGAAAAGGAGTCTACTTTTATCTTTATTCTTATTTTAAATAAATTCTAATCTTAATTCAGTATTGAAGAAGCACAATTAATCATTTGTTTCTTTGGTTCTATTCACAGTGTGAAAAAATTTTAACTATTATAACTCCATGAAAGCACAAGTCTAATGATACCTTAAAAGCTTTCCAAAAGTGATTTTTTTCTAAGAATAATAAGAAAACATGAAAACTGGACTTTGAATAATCAGACAATGGTCACAGGCCAAATTTTCTAGCCCCAGCTAAGGCTATCTCTTAAATGAACAAAAAAGGTCTCAAGTATACTGTTACGTTTTCTTTCTATATCCCTCTACTGATGTAGGAGAGCTTCAGAAAGTTTCTGTAATAATAAATTCGCTGTTATTCATACTTAAAAGGACTATGTCACAGTAAACAGGATAGAATCCTAATATATGTTCCAAGAGTGTCCATTCCTGAAGAAATAAATCCACAAAATTATTTTTACTTAAATAATATGTTTTACACAATGGCATGTTTCATAAGTCCCTATTACTTTAGGTAAAAATCACAATTTAAGAATCCTCCCAATTGTAGTATGCATGAATCCATACAGAAAATATTCCCACTTTGTATTCTTTCGTGATCAAAGTCATCTATTCACAGAGAAGTAGAAAGTGAATTTAAGCTTCAGAAAAGGGTAACAGGTTAACTGTAATTATATTGAAAAACTATTAATATGTCTAATGATCAATGGCTGATATAAACAGAAATAACTGACTTGTCTTCCCAGCTATAGTGGACTTCAACACTCTCTTCCTCTACTTAAGATCTATAAAATTGGTGATCTGGACAGCTTGATTTATTCAACCTCCATACTTACGGTAATATTTTTGTTTTTTAAGTAGGTGCTCAGTAAGTAGCTGTTTAAAAAAAAATTATCTTTTACAAGAAGAGATTGAGCTGTAAACAAAAGCTCTCCATTTCTTAATTTACCTACTAAACACTCTAATTCAGTGTTCCTAGCAAAAACCAGGGATAGACAAAAAAAAGTCTAAAATTAAAACATCACTGTTTAAAACAATAAACCTTCATGAGTATTACCTATATGCTCAACACTGGTAAAGAAATAAAATATCACATACAATGGCCCTAAGCTCTTGTCTATTATTAGTGTATACTCTGAAGTGGAAACTGGGAGTATAAAATTGATGTAAATAAAGACAAAACTGAACTACACTAAAGATGTTTGCTCACTCTTCATACTCGGTTGAACTTCATTATTCTCATGTCTCAAAAGATAAAGTTTTTTGTTTTAAATACTTCTATAGTCAAGGATGTTTTCATATCATATCCAAACTTACAAAATGTCAAAAGGGTACTTACTGAAAAAAATATAAAAGAAATTATTTTCTAAATCACTGACCTTCAATTATAGTACACTATTTTAGCTTTCTAATGTATATTATATTAAGTATATAAATACACACATATTCTATTGCAAAAATGTTCGTTCATTACATAATAAAATGGCAAAAATGACCTACCTCAGACTCTTAAAGGATCAGAAATTTTCTGCTTCCAACCACACAGTTATTTCATGACAACTACCCACTGCCCCAACTGTAATTCCAGGTAGTCATGAAGACACAGAACAAGATCAAGATTTAAAGCCAGTTCGGACAAAAAGTTTACAAGACCCCATATAAATGTATGTGATCATGCCACCATCATCTCCTGGTATCATGGCATGCACCTAACATACTAGCTATGCAAGAAGACTAGGTATGAGGACTGGAAACCAGGTGGCCAGTGAAAAAATGCAAAAACCTATCCAAAATATATCTGAACCAAAAAGGCCCGAAAGTGTGCCTCACCTGCATAGGAAGCATAAGGTCCTATATTCAAACCTCAGTACTATTTAAAAAAAAAAGAAAGTGGAGGGGAGGGAAGAGAGAGAGGTTAGGGAAGAGAAAGGAAGACAGAAAAGAAGGGAAGGGAAAGGGAGAGAGAAAAGAGAGGGGAAAGAAAAGAAGGAGAAAAGGGAAGAGGGGAGATGAGAGGGGAAAGAAGAGAAAGGACAACTCTGAGAGGGTTCAGAGAATCCTCGGAACCCAGCCACCATTGTCTTACACCTGTAATCTTAGCTACTCAGGAGTCAGAGATAGGAAGGACTATAATTCTATATTAGGCTGGGCAAGAAAACTTGTGAGGCCCTCACTTCAACCAATAGACTGGACATGATGTTGCATACCTGTCGTCCCAGGATACATTGTCATTATAAATAGGAGGATCACTGTCCAGGCAAAAACTGAGACCTTACATTGTAAACAAAAAGAACTAGAGGTGCGGCTCAGGCAGTACAATACCTACTTAGCGACTACGAAACCCTAAATTAAAAACCAAGAACCACCAAAAAGAAAACTCTGACTTAGCAGCCAACCTACTTTACTGTTAGCATGTAGCCTCTATAGAGATTGAAATTTCTCATTTCAGAGGGTACTTTTTTTGTTGTTGCTGTTGATCATTTTAAATGGGCCTAGTTATTAAAATTACACTGGCCTTCAAATTTTGTAATGAAATTAGTTCCAAAAACACAAAGCATTAGTCTCCTTCAAAAAAAAACTAAACATTGATTTGTAGAAATATTATTCATTTAATAAAACAACCAATTTACATTTCAGGTAATTCTCTAGTATGTCTAAAATTCTAATTATGTCTAATTGGACATTTGACATTTTTATTTGTTATATAAAGCAACAACAGATTCCAACAAAGACTTCACTTGCAACAAAAAAAAGTTAAGGATCAGCAAACATACATACATATATATTTATATATATATATGTATACATATACATATATATATATAAATATATATGTATGTATGTAACATAACATATAATACCAAAATTCAGAGTGAAATTCAGTCATGTTAAATTGATAGTTTCTGGTCAAGACTGCTTTTTCTAAAAGCATCTTAAAAGTATTTTCTAAAAATTCTATGAAAAGGTTTAAGTCATGAGCTATAAACAATTTAGTAATAAATAATTTTAAAAATAATAAATGTTACCCTGAAACTCTTCTTACACCTAAGTATTATGTGTCCAACGACTCCTCTGAAAAATTATTCATATATACTAGCATGTCAAGATAAAATTGCTCATCAAAATGACAGATGGTTAATTTGGTAACATGCCCTAATGGTGTCAGACAGATGAATTACCTCACAGGATTACTGGTCAAAGACACTCGGAGGGACTCCAGGTATGTGACAAGCCTCTCATCAGCAGACCCCATTTTCAGTTCATAGATGAATTCTTGAGGGGAGATCTGTCGACTATTTCTAAGACTTCCCTATAAAGTAAATCAGAGAAAAGTTGTTTTTTTTTTAATTCATGATACATGAATATGATTCATAAAATACTTACTCTTTTTTTTTTTTTTAACAGTCCTAGGGCCTCAACTCAGGGCCTGGGTGCTGTCTCTGGGCCAGTTTTGCTCAAAGCTAGCACTCTACCACTTGAGCCACATCTCCACTTCCAAAAAGCAATAGGAGGTTACTCAAAACATTAAACACAGAACTACCCTACAATCTAGCAATTCCGAGTATGAGCATTTATACAAAAGATTACAAACCAAGTCACAGCAAGACTACCAGCCCCAATATTCATTCACCTTAGCCTACATATAGATTAGCTCCAATGCCCCTCAATGGACAAACAGAACAAGAAAAATGGCGTATTCCATAAACAATGAAATTTTATTCACCCATTAGAAGGAATGATATTGTATCATTTATAAAAAATGGAAGGACATGAAAAAACTAATTTTAAGTGAAGTAAGTCAAGCCCAGAGAAACAGACGATGTCTGCTTTTTCTCACACATGGAACCTAGAACTCATCTATAAATATATAAATATGCACTGTATGGTGGCTTCCAAGTGTACAAAAGTGCACTAACTAAAACATGGTAAATTCACGGGAAAACTCAAATGATGCAATTCCTTAGAAAGGCTAACTTAAAGTCCAAAAAAATAAATAAACACCAGTAATGAGGTACTGAAAGTAGAAGGTAGGATAGAGGGAAAGGGGGGAGTAGATGAATGAAGTGAGGAATAAAGGAAAAATAATTATAAAAGTCAATGCATATCCTACAAAATTAAGAATACTGGGAGAAGGGGCAGGCAGCATAGAGCAGCATGGAAGAGAATGATGGAAGAGGTAACACTGATCAAGATCATTGTATTCAGACAGATACTACTTTATGAAAAGGCAACTCCTTTGTACAACCACTTAAAGATAAAAATAAAATTATTTTTAAAAACCCAGTCAGACATGAAGCAAAAATAAAATAAGAGATTTAAAACCACTTAAAAAGATATATTCAACTAATACTAACAGTACTTATAAATACCTTTTTGTTGCTTCAATTTTCCAAAGAATAGTTTGCTCCATACAGAAAATTTGAAAAACATAAGGGAAAGAAAAGTGCCTCAAAATGGCTATTGCTGGTATGTGATTTTTATATGTTTTTGTACTTCAAACATACATTTTAGCTAATGGGTTCATCATGTCATTTTCATACAAACGTATAATGTACTGCAATCATATTCACACCATCACCCTCTTCCCCCTCTCAGTTTGAGATTTGATGGCTGACTCAGATAGCCACCATGCCAAATGCACCCTGAGCAATCCCCAGTGGCCCAAGCCCCTGGGAACACTTGATCCCAGATTTGAAGCTATAAAACTAAGAGCCAAAGAAATCATTCATCTTTATGAAAAAAAAAAATTTCTGAGTGTGAATTTGATCTCAGTAACTGAGAGGCAATGTCAGGAGGATTTTGAATGGGAAGCCAGTAAGAGACACAGAGTAAGAGAAATAAGTAAGTAAATTTACAAAAAACATACCTATTGCTCTAAAGGTTTCCTTTATCACCAAAAAATGTTTCACCAATAAAGTCTAATATCCATAATGAAGTCTCAAACAGTGTGATGCATCATTGCCTGAAAATATTCACGGAGCATTTCTTTGCTAATTATTCTCTTTCATTTGAGTATGTGAATTGTTTTCTTGCTATCATAAAAATTTTAACTTCCTGTATATGGTTTCAGGCCTATGTTTGCATCCAAAAACATCAGTGGAAAGTTCAGCCAGATGGTATTTTACAGTCCAGCCAAAATGTACTACTGAAATAATTATGATCTGGTAGGATCCTACTCTGGTAGGATCAAAATAAACCACAACTAAATAGACTATTTCCTTCCACAAGGTATGGAGACATCTCATGTAGGAAATACTTGACGTATTAGAATCATAAACCACAAGTGCATTTAAGACAAAAATGAAAAAGGCATTTAAAAAAATGGGAGGGGGTAGCAAAGTGACTCATATCTTTTATCCCGCCTACTCAGTAGGCAGAGATTGGGAGACTCACAGTTTAAAATACGTGCAGATAATAAGTTAAGAAAACCTCACCACATAAGCTCCAGTAGGAAAACTGTGATTCAAGGCTAGCCAAGGCAAAAGTGAGAGACCTTATCTGAAAAATAATCTAAAAGCTAAAAATGTGAAAGACTGGGCTCAAGTGGTAGAGAACTTTCTAGCTAGAATAAAATTCTGAGTTCAAAGCCCAGTATCAACAAAATTGTTTAAGCCACTTGTCCTACTGCTATTCCTATCGCATTAGCCAATCACTTACAATGCCTTTCTTATGCTACCTAAAAGCTACTTGAATAATATGCTTATTGTAATATTTTAATTTGTAAACTACCAATATTACCTTTGACTTTAATTATAAAAGACAAGGATTTATCTTAAAAATACTGCAACTTGTCTGTCATGTTCTGAGCATAATTAAAAGTAAATGTAATTAAACCAAAAGATGCCATTCTATATAGTGAAAATGAGTCTGTTCTAGGAAGTACTCATGGTAAAGCCCCTAAAGAGATGAGCTGACATCCAAAGATCATAATCATGTTTCAGTCTACCCTGATGACATTGAGTGGATATTTTATGTCCTATTCACAAAATCAGTCTACCAGTTGCTGAAAATTACATATTGATAAAACTGAATCCTCCTCTAAAGTTAGGAATGAGAGAAGTATATCTGCTTTCACTACTCTTAATTAACTATGTACTAGAAGTCCCATTTAGTGTAGCAGTAGTAGTAGTAACAAGTAATGATTATCTAAATAAATTTAGTGATGTGACAAAATATAGGCCCAACATGTGGCATTTTTATTTGTAAAGAGTGCCAAAAATTGGAAAGCAAAATTTGAAATAATTTGAATATTTTTACATAACATTTTCAACAACAAAAGTTAAGAACATCTTTAATCAAAGAAAAGACATGAAAATAAGGGAACTTAAATATAGATGCAACACCCTCTGTTCATGGATCCTAAATTCAGTTTTATTAAGAAAGACCCTAAGGCGTACATAATCCAAAAAATAATCTGTAGCTTCAATATAACTACCATCAAAATCTCAGCAAGATTGTACAGAAATTAAAAACAGATTCACTTTCTCATTGATTTTCATGAGAAAGTGAAATATTGGTTGGATCACAGACATGAGTGAAGCTATTAAAGAGATCAAAACAGGAATGGTCTAGGGAACCAGATCCTCCAGGTATGAAAAAGAGTATTAGCACATGTCAACATTTCCACATGATGCCATTCTCTTAGTAGATAATATCTTTACACAGGATGAGCTCACTATCCTAGCTCATCTGTTTGCAGAATAATTTGGAATACCATTTCTGTGACAAAAATCAAACTACATTTTATTTCCACCTACTGAGTTAAAGTATGAAAAGTTGGCCTTTCTTTTTCCAAATGAAGGTTATGAAAGATATCCATAACCTTAAAGAATCTACCACAGAATAGCCTGATATTGATAACAAATAATAAAAATATAAAACCAAATCTAAAATTTCTACACTATGCAAAAAAATGACACATCACAATGCCAACATAGGTAGCAAAATAGACCTACTATTACCATGGCAATTGCTTCAAACAAATTTTCCTAGATTACTTAAGTCATGATAAGACTCATACACTACTCTCCACAATGAACTTTCACTCACAAAATGATGCATTACAGTTCCTGATAGATAGCCTATACCAAATTCATCATGAACCATTACCGAATGTATATATTCTGCCTTCCACTCACATTTACTCTATTCAAAAAAACCACATTTTCAACAATGACGCAAAATGTTTAGACTGTATATATACAAAAATTTAAATATGAGGGACCAGTAAGAAGCTAGTTATTAAAATGATTCTATGATATTTACTACATATTTTTAAGCAGGAAACCTGCAAAAATAAAATTATGTAACAATGCCTAATAAAAACAGGTGTGCATAAACACAAGTTAATTCTCTCAGTGACAAGTATGAATATTTTGAGTAGGCAAATATATATCTTGTCCCTTAAGTCAGGAAGCATAAGTTAACTGCTTCAGTTTCTCTATGGTGTTATAACTACTGGTACTTGTTCAGGTCTTGAGATTTGTAAAGTGTGTGTGTGTGTGTGTGTGTGTGTGTGTGTGTGTGTGTGTGTGTGTGTGTGTGTGTGTGTGTGTGTGTGTGTGTGTGCGCGCACGCATGCCAACAGTAAAGAAATAGTTTGCATGGAAAATAATATTTTAAGAAAACAGCAAAGTCAGCAAAGTATAAAACAAGGGTAAGTAGAGTTGATGCCTGGAGGATAATTATAATCAAAATTATGATCTTGTATATTACTATTTAAATGCATTCCAACAAATCCCTTGCATTTTGCAAATGACTCAAGCATCTCTAATATCACTGATCAAAAGAAACACTAACCTGTCATTGTAGCATGAATTACTTGTTTGAAGAATATTTAGAAACCAAGCTGATCTCTAATGCAATAAAAACTTGTTATTCACAGATGATTTTATACACTGGGCCAAAAAATGAAAGTAAAAAAGTACTGCCCAAAGGTATATACCCAGACAAATAAAGATAAGCAGGAGATTCTCTTCAAGATTTACTTATTTATATTCATAAACCTTGAATGAACACTACTATGTGCCCAAAAACCTCCCTAAAGTTCTGGCAGCAGGTTTTAGCATACATTAAAAACAGCTTATATTAGGAGTTTAGAATTCCCAACTATATTTTACAAAAAAGCATGATAAAAGTACAGATATGTTGTTGTTTAAGTTTCTACTATGGCCTACTACTATTATCCTTATTTGTTTTTAATTTGCCTCTGTGATTATTTTTAAGACTTTTAGGGTTAATTATCCTATGTTGCAGATGACTGTAAGCTAGTTTTGATGATAAACATTATATTTTCAAAATATTAAGAAA